CGTGTCCTCTGGTCAGTCTCTACCGTGTTCTCTGTTCAGTCTCTACCGTGTCCTCTGTTCAGTCTCTACCGTGTCCTCTGGTCAGTCTCTACCGTGTTCTCTGTTCAGTCTCTACCGTGTCCTCTGGTCAGTCTCTACCGTGTCCTCTGGTCAGTCTCTACCGTGTTCTCTGTTCAGTCTCTACCGTGTCCTCTGGTCTGTCTCTACCGTGTCCTCTGGTCTGTCTCTACCGTGTCCTCTGGTTTGTCTCTACCATGTCCTCTGGTCTGTCTCTAACATGTCCTCTGGTCTGTCTCTAACATGTCCTCTGGTTTGTCTCTACCGTGTCCTCTGGTCTGTCTCTACCGTGTCCTCTGGTTTGTCTCTACCATGTCCTCTGGTCTGTCTCCACCGTGTCCTCTGTTCAGCCTCTACCGTGTCCTCTGGTCTGTCTCCACCGTGTCCTCTGGTCTGTCTCTACCGTGTCCTCTGGTCTGTCTCCACCGTGTCCTCTGGTCTGTCTCTACCGTGTCCTCTGGTCAGTCTCTACCGTGTCCTCTGGTCTGTCTCCACCGTGTCCTCTGTTCAGCCTCTACCGTGTCCTCTGGTCAGTCTCTACCGTGTCCTCTGGTCAGTCTCTACCGTGTCCTCTGGTCTGTCTCTACCGTGTCCTCTGGTCTGTCTCTACCTTGTCCTCTGGTCTGTCTCTACCTTGTCCTCTGGTCAGTCTCTACCTTGTCCTCTGGTCAGTCTCTACCTTGTCCTCTGGTTTGTCTCTACCGTGTCCTCTGGTCTCTTTGCAGTGCTCTCCTGGCATCATGGAGCTCCTGAATGTTGCTAAATCCAGTGTCCCTCCCTCCATGTGGACCAGAACCCCTGTGGTTCTGAAAGCGACAGCCGGTCTGAGGCTGCTGCCTGGAGAAAAGGCCAACCAGCTGCTGGACCAGGTGGGACTGTCTGCTTGGTTCTGACCCAGTTCCTTAAACCAGGAACCTTTGGAAGATTCTGACAGAGACCTTCTTTAATCCCAGAACCTCAGTCTGATCTCAGAGCAGGATGGTTCTGATGGTCCGAACCAGACCTGGTTCTGCTTAGAAACTGACCAGCCGGGTCCATCAGAACAAATTTCATTCTGCAGGTTCTGGTTCTGAATGATCCTGACCCTGTGGTCTGTTCTCCAGGTGAGGGCGCTGTTCCAGGAGTCTCCCTTCCTGTCTGCAGAGGACAGCGTGTCCATCATGGACGGAACCGATGAAGGTAACATGGTCCACATGAGACCAACCGGGCTTTGGTTCTGTTACACCACCAAAACCATCCAGAAAGTTCTCGACTTTCCCCTTTTCTGTTATACATCTCCATGGCAACGCTTCACCTACAGTCTCCACTCCCATAGCAACAGGTGGAACCAGATGTTCTCAGCTTAGAACCGGGTCAGAACCAGAGGAGAAAGTTCTGAGGAATCAGGCTGTAACTGGAGGTTCGGGGGATTCGGGTCGCTTCACATACAGAACCAGAACCCGCGACCTTTGACCCTGCAGGACGATAATAATCTCCAAACAGAACCTCCAAAGAGCAGGTCGCTCCGGTTTGGTCCGAACCGGTCCGGGTCAGAACATCCACTTCAACGATCACTGAAGGAGAAGTGGACCGGCCCACAGAGATCATGGAGTCAGTTCTGGTTCTGACCCGTTTATCAGAACATTATGATGATCGACTCTAAAAAAGATTAAATTCTGCAGAACCAACCGGGTCTCAGAGTCAGATTAGACCCGGTCCAACTGGACAACAGAACCTTCATCTCTTTGTTCTGACTGGAATAGTGCCATCAGAACCGGGTCCAGGTTCTGGTTCTCACAGAGGCTGGTTGCTCCATGCAGTCTGAACCAGAACCCAAACCGTTTAGAACCTCCAGCGGTTTTGCAGAACCCGGTCCACCGAGTGAACTTTGGACTGATCAGTCAGAACTTTCAGGAAGCGCAGCGAGTCGGACTCGGTTCTGCCGGGTCTGGAGATGTACCTGTGGTTCTGATTGGTTCTGTGCTGCTGAGAATCAGAACCTGACCTGCTGGTTTTCCTCTTCTCTCTGCAGGGATCTCTGCCTGGATCACCATCAACTTCCTGACAGGTGGGTCTGAACGGCACCGCGTCTCAGGTTCTGAGGTTCTGATCTGCTGGAAACGGGTCGGTTTGGTTCTGAGGGTGCAGCAGTTATACTCAGAGCCTAACTGGACCTTTAGTAGCTGGTTCTGAAGCCATTTTGGTTCCAGTTTGATTCAGCTTCACCTGAATGTTTCGGAACCAAAGTCCAGTTGGAACCGATGAGACCAGAACCTATTGGACGGGTTCTGGGTCCATTCTGGTAACCAACCGGGCCTCTCAGAACCAGCAGTGTTTACCTGAAACTGATACGAGCCAAACCCGGTCCAGCTGCTGGTTCTGGTCCAACCTGTGGTCACCATGGAAACCAGGCAGTTCTGTCTTATAGAACCGTCCAGAATGTTCTGACTGCTGATTGGTCTCCATCCAGGTGGTCTTCGCGGGTCAGAACCACCCAGCGTGGGGATATTGGACCTGGGCGGCGGCTCGACCCAGATCACCTTCAGTCCTCGAGACGAAGTGAGGAAGGTTCCGAGTCGACCCGCGCGGAACCGGCGCTGGATCCACTCGGGCCAGCAGGGCTCATTTCTCTGATCTAGAATCTGATCTATTTATTCCTGTTCTATTTGATCCATTCTGGTTCTCATCTCTCTACAGAAAACCATCCAGATGTCCCTGGTTGATGACATCAGAACCTTCAGGATGTTCAACAGAACGCACACCGTCTACACACACAGGTTCACACCTCAGATCTAGAATCACAAATCTAGAATCTCCTATCTAGAATCATAGAGAGGAAGAACCACAGATCTAGAACCACATAAAGGAAAAAACATAGATCTAGAACCCCCAGAGAGGTAGAACCAGAGAGATGGAACCTCATTTATAACAAAAGGATAGAAATGTAGAACCCAGAGGTAAAAAACTAGAACGTCAGACATTTCGATGTAAACCTCAGAGATAGAAATATAGAACTACATTGATAGATGCATAGAACAACACAGAGACATGTAGAACTAGAGTGCCATAGAACCACGCTGACGGGTTCCTCTTTCTGTCTGCAGCTATCTGGGTCTGGGTCTGATGTCGGCTCGCCTGGCCGTGCTGCGCGGCGCCGACGCTCCGCCCCGTGAGTTCCTGACCTTCTTTTGGTTCTGGTTCTGCACTCGGCTTTCATCTCCGCCATCAGCCAGATAAATAAGCCATTATCTAATCTTTTAATAACTCGCTGCAAGATTAATTCCTTGCCTGGCAGCAGCTGCTGCTGCTGATCTGCTGTAAGAAGCTCGGCTCCACTGATCAGGCTCCGTCTCTGCAGCGGTTCTGATCCGTTTATTCTGACTCCAGCTTGTTTTTACGCTCAAACACATTAGAAGTGGTTTTATTGTTCCTCAGCAGAGGAGCGTAGAACTAGATGGAAGGATCCGGTAGAACCGCTTCTGTAGAAGAAGGAAAACTGCTGCTGAGGTTAAAAAATAAAAAGGAAAGAAAACAGCAGCTGGTCTGCAGAACCATGGGGAGACTAGAACCAAAGATCTAGAGCAGGTAGTTCTAGAGCAGGCAGTTCTAGAGCAGGTAGTTCTAGATCAGGTAGTTCTAGATCAGGTAGTTCTAGAGCAGGTAGTTCTACAGCAGGTAGTTCTAGA